CTCTCCACTTCCTCTCTGTGGAGTCCATTACCGAAGCAGAGAGATTGAAACTCGATGATCCTGAAAATGCAGCAAATGTATGCCAGATAATTCCAGCCTGTGATTGTGCTGTTAATAAGAACATGAGCTGTTCGCTGTGAATACGCAGGAGTTGCAGGTCCCAGATCTGTAAACTGAGCAAGCTGTAAAAGTACAGGCCGCCCCCCCCCACAACAAATTAAAAGAACTGCACAAACATGCAAATGGAATGGAATCTAGCACTGATAAACACAAACGAGGAGAATTTTTTAAAAATAAAATCCCTAGGTAAAAATCTAAATAATAAAATAACTAAAAAATCTTAAATTCTATATCATTAGAAAATAAGGTGGTCATTTCACAGAAATGTGTACTGACCAGGAAATTATGCTTTTACTTTAAAAGTCTCCCTTTATTCAAACTGATGCAGTATATCAGGAGGGAATATTCAATTAATAAGAGCTTGGGGAACCCATCAACGTGCCACTCCAACAGATACTGACAACTTCTACATTTGAAAAACAATGTCACTTCACTGGCAGGTTAACAGGAGAGTCACAAACTCTGACGATCACAATCTGTGAGTAAACTGTGAAAATGCTGCCCTTTTCATAGTAAAAAGTTTTTTTAATCCACTGGGAAAATGGGAAAATAAAGATCTTAAAATCCTAAACTCTATATGAACAAGAGCAAGGTCTTTCAGGCAGTGTTATACACACTGTGGTGTATATGTAGCTAAAATATAAGTACAATGTTCACGGAAGTTGTTTTTTTTACAAAATCCAATACTGCCATTTTAGTCAACAGAAGTGGAGTTATTTCCACGACTGGATAGTCTTTCTATCTATTGATCACAGAACAGAAAGGGAATATTGCATTTTCTTTGCACAGAGAGCTTTTAGCAGACCTACTTTATACAACAAGTTGTACAGAAATGTTGAAAAGTTTTTTTATAATGGCTGTGCTACCCCTTCTACAATACAAGGTGCAAGGGCTCCTAAATCAGCATTGACATATTTGGACATTTAAGCTGGGATAAGAGTAGGACTAGGAGAGAGAGGTAAGATGATAGCCGAAGGCCTACCAGCTCTGTGTTGGAGGAGGCTCCTCAGCAATGAGGCTCAGACTATGCACTGTGTATTCCACCCAACCCTCAATAGGCTCGGCAAGGTGTTTCAGTATCAAGGTGCAGAGGTCTGCGGATCAGGGTGACGAACGCAGCGTATTTTATCATGTGGGCTTCTTATTAGGATGAATAGCATCACATTGCAATATAATACTGATTGATATGCAGAAATGTGCAGGCCTTTTCTGTGTTATTTGTGTGGAAGGTCCATATATCATGAAAGAGAATGTGTGCTACTTTTTATTATCTGAATGGCTATGCTCTCCCTCCTGTCTATCGTCATCCTAAGAGCTACATATTTTGTATCTCATCCCATTTTGCATAATAAAATAGGGCAAATGTATACAGAAAGCGTACTGTGTGCAATGTAGGAGTATAGCACAGCAACATTCATAGGACAACTCTAGGCTGTAGTGTCATCACATCCCTGATTAAAACTGAAGTGAAGCTAAAGTGTTGATAGTGCTGGAACAGTAGAGGTGGTCTACTGGTCAAGGAGAGCCACGCATCCAGAAGGTTTTACAGGAGATTGTCAAGTCTTCATTTTTAAAGCCTTTAGTACTTGAGGAGCTATGTAGTTTTCAGATCTACCCGATTCCTAAATTTCTGAACTTATTAATGTTTTAGTGGTCAAGTTCAAAATCTGAAAGTGTGGATGCTATAGTGATTTATAAAATATACTGAACAGAAGTTCTCAGGGACAAAGTAATTCAGTGTCCTGAATTATAAGAAGAACATCCCTGAAGACTCAACCACCTGGGACTGACAAACCTGATTATTGATGCTCATCACCTAGCTCAATGAGATGTCAGTCTAATTGGTGCTCCTTAAAAGCTCTGCCACAGGTCCAGTAAGGCTGTTGTCACATCCTGCCATAAAGTTGCTATGACAGATTTTTATCTGATGTCTTGGAGTGTGCACACAACTTTGGGCAGAGTTTAAGACATTTCAGTCAAGCTTCTTCCAGAAACAGGTCTTGCTTTAAACCACAGCACCCTGCAAAACCACATTAAAGAATATATACACCGGACTACAGTACTTTGGTGTCAAATAAATAAAGCTTTTGAGTGCAAAGAGAAGAAGCTACATGTTTGTGCCTACATTACAGGAAGGCCAGGCCAGGCCAGAGGAATCTAATTAGGGTTGTAGTAGGTTAATAAAGCCACCCAAAACCAGCATAAATTACTCCTTACTTCAGACAGTAAGTGAATGGGTAGTAATGGCATACAACTGGACACATTCCTTAATTTGACTCTCATTAAGCTCCTCTAAACTCAATAAGCTCATGGAATGTTTTGCTCTGCACAGCCCCTCTACCTCCTAACCTGTTATGCAAAATGGGCTAAAGTTCTGAAATTGTTGGTAATTGTTCACCCACAGCATTCATCCGCCTAAACCTCAAGTTTCCATGGACTCCAGTGCAGTCGATCCTGGTGCACAAATCCTCTTCGTCTGCGTATCCGTCATCATCGGGACATCCTCCCATTGCCTCTCTGGTCAGGAAAGGGGAGTGTTGATCACACCTCAGAGTTAACAAATGCAACAGCGAAGAGGAAGGCACATGAACAAAATCCTGATCACCTTGTCAGCTACATCCATGCTTCGTCGTCCAGACTGCCCGACTCCACAGACGACCCATCTCGCTGGTCCTCGGAAGGATTGATCAGATCTGTAAGGGCCTGATGGAGAGCCCTCCTAGACCTGTGGTCCACTACCCACCTGGGGTGACCATTCACCCTGGGGCTCGGGGGGGGCTGGGGCACCTGCGCTGCCTGCTTATAGCTGACAGGGGTGGGAATGCGCGAGGGGCTCTTCTCGGGCCGGTTGTCAGTGCGAGGACGGAGTTTTGGCCGGAGCTTGAGTTTGTAGATGGAGGGCACTCTCTCTGGCTTTTTCAAGCCCTTCTTGGGCCGCAAAACCACACACGGGTCCGCCGTCTGAAGAGGGGGGGTGGGCGAGCCCACCGAGCAGGCCTCGTTCTGGATCACGCACTGCGAGCAAGACCCTTCACTGGAGGAGTCCAGGAAAGAGCAGTCCTCCGAAGGGGCGAGGTGGTGCGCATCAGGAGGCAGAAGAGTGAGGTCGTCGTCGTCCTCAAAATCGGAAGCACCTTCCTGGTTCTGCAAGCCCTCCAGATCTCCATCCAGGTCATCCGAATCCAGGCGAACTCTTGAATTCCCTTTTCTTGAGTTCATCACGCCTCTCATTCCGGAATCCAAGCCTAATGATCGGTTGCTTTGGGAAACTACTTTGTGACCACTGATCACGTCTCCAGGGTCCAGTCGCCAGATGGCAGAGCTCGGAGGTGCAGTCTCTTTGTCTTTTAGATTGTTCACAGAGGAGAGAAACTCTCTCTCTTCTAGAGAACTTGACAGAACAGGCAGCAGCTTTGGGCCCTGAGGCTCCGAGTGGCCTGGCCAGCGATCGACATCCACGTGACTTTGGCCGCAGCCTCCAGCTTGCGCCTCGGTGGCCCGTGTGGAGTCGCGCAGATCTGGTAGAACCCCCAGCTTATTCCCAACGTTGAGGGAGGATGTAGAGGAATTGGATGAGGAGTAAGCAGAGTCGGTGACGTTGGGGTCGCCCAGGGGAGGCTGCTGCAAGGCCTGCGGCTGCAAAGGCTGAGCGAGGAGATCACCATAATCATCCCCTCCTTCAGCGAAGCCGCTCCTTTGTGTGTTTGCCAAGAACTCAGCCTCGAAGCTCCGATACAGCTCCTTCTCCCGGCTGGGGTCTAAGCAAGGCAAGGCCTGAAAAGTCACTCCCAGGTCCCCATCCCCTGTATCCAGCCATTCACTTGAGCCCCCCCTGCTGAGGTTCCCATAGGAGCTCCTGGGATTGCTCCGGTGGGACCGTGGGACCGGAGGGAGCAGTCTGCTCCGCCCGACAGATGGGGACTTGGGCCCGGTCGTCCGGGGGGATGGAACCTTCTTGCTTGGGCTGTTCTGGCTTCCTTTTCCCAACGAGGAGATATTCTGCTTCCTAGGGAAAGCTCCAACGCCGATTTTTGGAGAGGATGGAGTGCTGCTCTTGGCTCGAGGATCTCCTCCAGCACGGGGCGGTTGAAAGATTCTTCCTCTTGGCTGTGCTACGTTAGCCTCACTGTCTCTGCCCCGACTGAACGGCTTCCCCTGGCTCTGAGACCTGGAAGTCTGCAGCTTCCTCGGGCTTTCGGGCCCCAGCGAGCGGCCTCTGTCGGGCCTGGCCTTGATGCTGTCCGGTTTGGGGATATCCAGAGGCGGACTGGGCCTGAGGATGACGCTGCGGCCGCGAGACTGGCTACGAGCTCTGGGCTGTGGAGGGCGCAGGGCCGGGACATGAGTGGCTCCGGGTCTCTCAATGACATGCTTGCCCTCCCTCCTGCTCACCAGCAGGACCACCTCTTCACCAGGCTTCTTGCTCCCTGGCAGGGAAGGTCGCCCCCCCCCACCCTTGGAAGACGCAGTGGAGGAGTCGCTGTCCCCAGAGAGTTTCCGAGTCACCACGGGCAATGCCTCCTTGGACCTGTGTTCCACAAAAGAAAGTATCAGTAAGAAAGCAGCCAGCCAGAATAAACCTAAACTTGACTTCATGCAAAGGAACACAATCTCTTACTAAATCTCACACTGAGAAACGTACAGAAGATTGCGGGAGTCTGGAACAAGCGTCCTCCTTGTATTCGGATAGAAGAAAGTTTACACACCAGAGGAGTCAACACAGCTCATCTACCTCAGTGAGTTTCTAGGTGCTAAGAGAGCCAGCAGCAGGGGATCTTTGCTTAAGAGAAGCCAGTGTGTCTCCTTCATCAACGTGGCTGGGTAGCTTGTTCCAGGCTCCCACAGCCCCCTGAGTAAAAGAGGGTCTCTTGTTCTCAGTTCTAAGTGAATATAAGAATATAACAAAGGTTACAAATGAGGAGGTCATTAGGTTCGGCTGGCCAGTTTGACTGCAGTCTATTTCCAAGGTAACCCTTTCCTCCTCATCTGCAGTTTCTTCATCTGTGGGGTCAGGCCAAGCCTGGTCCAGCAGTACCTAGAACATTTTTGTTAGGGGCCTGAAGCTTCTCTGACTTCCCAAAGGCTCAAAGCTGCATTACCCATCACACCTTTCCAATTCAATCACATCTTCCTGAGGATTCCTGAAGGCACTCAATAACCGTGAACTGTACGGTCTGTGCTTCACACTGATTTTTAGAATATTAGTTTTTATAACAGACAGCTGTGCAGTACTATACACAATCCGCTTGAAGAGAGAGAGACATCATTTAAAAAAAGCATCAAACATTTAAGCTGCAACAGCCAGTTGACAACAGAAACCCAGACTAGTATCTTACACTTTACATCACATTGCTTTCATGTTTGGTACCTTTAATGTCTTCACTAGAATATTCATTCTCGGCACAAAAATGTTTGACAGCTGAAATTCCGACATTAAATGCATTTTTCTACTAAGAACGTTATTTCCCGCGCAACCTGCCAAAATTGGATACAAGTGGGGGTATCAAGGAGATTTTGGGGGTCCTGATACCCCAAAATGTTGTCTTGTGTTTTTGTATGTTACAATAGCAAAAAAAGCAAAGCAACAGAAGAAATGGGCAATCAGGAACAGCACAAAACTGGAAAAACAGAAAATGCAGGTATAAAGGAATCCTTTTAAGGGTTAAATTTTACATCTGCCCTTTTGAGTTTTAGTCAAAACCCATTACCGTTTCCGCATGCTAAGTGACTTTCTGGTGGCAAGCCAGGATGAAAGACTGCTGAACTTAATGGCTTCAAACAATGGTAGCTCTGCAGACTCATAATCACTAAGGAACATACTGTAATGGCAATGTAATTTTAGCTGTGAAGAACAAAAAGTAATCTTCATCTAAGTGGGTAAAAATACATTTTCTTTTAGAAGCCGTAGCAAAGTTTAACTGGTGTCCAGTACTGCAGATATATAATGACCTTAATGTCCACAATTTACATTTTGAACCCGCTGAGGAATGTCATGTACCGACAGATTAAAATGATTTGTCCGACTGGGTGCTCTGTCAATTTGATGAATTGCTACGTTTCTCCCTCCCAGTTTGACGAGTCCGGCATGGAGTCGGGAATGTTTTGGCATTTTCTATTTATAAACACCTTGTCTCTCGCGGCCTACTACACGGGTGTTGTGTCTGTAACAGCCTGACTCCGCTCCCCGCCCAGAACATCTACAGCCACGTTCAGTGTGCTTGCATTCAGAGAGGCGATGCTGCGGTCATTGACAACGCGGCAAGCTCGCAGGTTCCTGACAAGCCACAGAGGGGCGCTGTTCCGCAGCTAGCTTCAATGGCTGTGCAAATGAAAGCGTTTTAAGATCAACTTTCGCTCACCTCTTCAGAACAGCCTTTACAAAATGCACTGACTACCAATCAAAGTAAATAAGTGGGAAAACAAATACATAATTGTGTGTGTTCTGTTCTTGATTCATATTTGAATATCATTTTTAATGTATTTATCTGTAGCTCTATAAATGTAAGAGGAAGCACATTATTCATGTGGATAATCAGCTGAATGTATATGGAAAAATGTTAAATATGTCAGCAAATGTCGTATGATTACACTGTAAAGAAGCAATTGGAAGTCATTTTGTGCAGCAGGTGAGACGGGACCAGTGTCGGTGGGCAAGTGTGTAGAAATGTGCAGGGAGTCGGACTGTCAGAGTGCAGGCAGGGGGATCCAGAGTCCCAGCAATGTCACCCCTGATTAGAGAGAGCTGAGGGTTTAATCGTCCTGTCTCACTGTGGAGGGCTGGGATTCTCTCCACACCAGAGGATTAGTGAGATCAGACTGTCACTCCATGCTCAGAAACCCCACAGGTACAGTAGTTCAGTGATTTGAGATAAGTCTCCATTTGCCCTGGTAAATATTAAGGCCAAACACTGTTGCCAAAGGGCAGTCATATAAAATCCCTTTTAAAGTGTACTATTATTTTTTAAAACATGTTATGTCCTAAGTCTTTCCATTCCACAAGAGCAGGATTTTACAATATTCTACACCCAACCTAAAACTCCTTTTTTAACCAGAATATTTTATAAAAGATCTTTTAACCCATGTCTGAAATACATACTCACACCAGAGCCAGCTTTCCCAGAAGCCCATTAACCCACCAGCGTGTGTGCGTGTTTTGGACGGTGGGAGGAATCCGGAGCACCTGGAGGAAACCCGTGCAAACACGGGGAGAACATGCAGACTCCACCCAGACAGCACCCCAGGAACTGAACCCAGGGCCCCAGCGCTGCCAGGCAGTGATGCAGACTGCTCACTTTCTGACAGACATCCCCAGCGGGACATGATTCTGACGGACGCGTCCTTCGGGGTGCCGGGGTGTACCTGAGTGGGGGGGCTTGCCGCGGTTCGGAGCGATCCCGGGGCGGGCGGGGGGTAGCGGGCGCCCGGCCCGTGCTGGCGTCCAGCTCCGTGGGGAGGGAGTGGCGGGGGGTGCGCCCGGCGCCAGGGGGCTCCAGAGTGCGTCTGTCCGGCGTCCTGAGTGGGGTGCCGCTGTCTGTCTTCCAGTGGGGTCCAGTGCTGGGAGACTGGGAAATGTGGCCGGTTCCAGTTTTACATGGAGTCAGACTGCTCGATCTGGACTGCTGATAGCGATGAGCTAGTCATGGAAAAACAAGTCACCATCACAGTAGTAATTAATACTTCAACTGTTTAAATCACCCCTAATCTGGCCCTGTGACATGTACCCCTCTGGCAGCTAGATCTGACCACATATATTACACCCTTGAGATTACAGTGAGAGATGATAACACTGATTGTGGTGTGGATTCACAGGAGCTTTAAATCAACACATTTTCTTGTAGAGAGACGGGATGTGTTTCAGTACAGACAGACGGTGCTGGCTCGCAGGGCTGAGGAGGAACCAGCGTGGGCCAGTAGGAGGCGCCACACTCACCAAAGGCATTGCAGCGGCACGGGTCATGCTTGTCCAGGTAGTGTTCCAGCGTGTCCCAGCCACCCCCGACTCGCACCATCACGTGAGTCCGCAGCACCTGGAACACACCACAGCTGTTGCACACCTGGCGGACCAGCTGACTGCCACGAGTCTTGTGTGGTCCCCAGTGCCCATCACTTTACTGTACTGGAATACTATGGATTTTTTATTGAATACATTATCCATTCTAAATCCCCAATTGCGGGTCCTGCTCTGCTCTCCACTTGAGTCCTGGGGAAATAAGGACTGTGCGTGCTTACCGTCAACATGCTCACTGTCAAACCCTTTTATATGTGACGTACTGCAAGCTCTAGAGTTTCTTACAGGAGCGCCTAGAGTACATCGGAGGAGTGATGCATCTCTCGCTGACAACACAGGAAGCTCATGGGCGTCTGGTAAGTCCAAGAGCTCACTGTTGTGCAAGCTGACAACACCCAGCTTGACTCAGGCCTGCCCACACCCAGCAGGCCAGCGCACAGCTACCTGCAAGCCCTCACTCGAGAGTCACGGGCAGCTCGGGCTTGAGCCAGCGCTGTCAGGACTGTGGGAGATAACATGCACTCCAGGCACAGACCTTCACTGCTTGAGCCATTTGGGATATCAAGGCCTCAGTTTTAATACTATGTGTGTTAAACATACCAACTGAAATGTTAGACATCTTTATTACACTTTAGAAAGCAAGCAGTAGGACATTTTTTTCCCCCCAAAGGCTCTTTTTCAAAGAACCACCTGATTGTAGCCTGATCTTGTCAGATCTCAGAAGCTAAGCTAAGCAAGGCTGGCCCTGGTCAGTGCTGGTATCTGCTACACCATTCATGAGTGAATGCTCAGGTTACATAGCTCACCCTGCAGTAAACTGTATGACTGAATACTGCAAGCCATTAGGGATGGCTTTTTGTCTTTGTCGTTGGTATGCCTGAAGAAAACACTCTTTCTCATAAAACAGCAAGAAATGCCGATGGCTATTACACTTATTTGTTCTTATTGAACTCCAAATACTAACACGAAGTCTGTGTCCTGTTCAATCCCCTTCAGAGGCTTCTTCCCTCACGGCTGACAGGAAACAGCAGCTCGGCGCTGCTCGGCTGCCTCTCCTGCAGCCTAGGGACCGAGCCGCCAGGGTGACAGGCGGCTCCGCAGATGAAAAGAGGGCTGTTTGCTTTGAATTCAAGGCATTTCAGCTGTTGAAAAGCTTCTGTCTGGCAAGAACAGCGAAGCGGCCGCGGCCCTGGGTAACTGCCCATCGGCTATGGTGAGGAGCTGCATAGTAACGGCCATCACAGACAAAAGCAGAGGCAGCTTCTAATTTGACCATGATGCTGCATATTAATTAAGCACCAGTACTAGACAGATACATAGAAATGCTATCAATAAGGACTTGCATGTTTTTACCAAAGGTAGGCAAAATCTGAACGACGGAGCTCAATGGATAAAATAATACTACGGATTTTGCTTTCCTAGAAAAACATCCGAGACTAGATCACCAGAACTCAGGACGTTTGTGGAGCAGCAGAAGTACTGGGTCCATAAAGAAATTTCATGTCTTCTAACCTGGGCTATAACGGGGAATGTTTTTATAGAAGGGTCTTCTCTTTACTGTGTATTAACAAAACTGTCATCCCAATTTGCCCTGGCTTGAAGTGCCTAACTTGCTGTATGACACAGACAATCCAGGCAGATTGCTGAAAGATCCTGGCTTATAGAAAAAAAAATGTCAGACAGATCCATGTGGGACTGGGGCAGCACTGGTCAGGGTTCTGAGCTCATGACTGGACAGTCGTGGCTTCAGATCCCCGGTGAGACACTGTGCTTTTATCCCTCAACAAGGTGATTCACCCAAAGGGCTCCAGTACAGTAAACCACTGGACAATTGGCTTCAAATGTAAATCACTTTGGCAGAAAAGCTTCAGCCAAACAACTTGGTAATTAGACCCACGAAGAAGGGGTTGCATTTTTCATCTCACAGTTTTATCACCATGTGTGTGATATACAGTACTAGCCTAACCACAAGAGAAAGACTCAGTTGGTCTTACCCTGATGAAGATCAAAGCACTGGAATCTCCTACTTTGTACTTCCCCTCAGAGACCTTGGTCATTGGAAACTGGGATGGGCAGGAGCAGCGCCCCAAGATTTCCCGCACCTAGGGAAACAAGAGGAAAACACATCAGGTTCCTTGTTCCACAACCCACTGCTCTTAAATTCCCTATATACTCAATAGTCCCAAAATACAAACTCAGCTGGTGCTGTATTATTAAAATAATGCTTTGGTATTGGATATAAAAAGTAGTTTGGAGAACACAGTAACACAGGATAAATCCCTATAATAATGCATTTTTATTTCATCCAACATAGCGCACACTGGTAACCCATCACTGCTTTGTCAGTCTGTAGCAGAAATAAAAATAAAAAGAAACACAAAGTAACCATTTTATTTTCTTCCTTCAATATAATGACACTTTACACTTTATTTAATGTGCTTGAACACACTGTGTTTTGCCAAGTTACGTCCAGAATTTCTGTCCACCTGTTCTGCTCTATGGCAGGACAAACCCTCTTCCCCAGGTTTATCATAACCTTACTACAGCACAACACAAACAGCTGATGTGGAGTCCAAGCCATCTTCCTCTGTTACTCAGTGCCTCGACTGTGCTAGAGTCTCAATAATGCAAGAGCTCTTTTATTTAAGAGGAGCATATAAGAGACCTCCCTTGATCTCTGTGGATCAGTTTTCCAATGAGATCTCATTACGTCTCAGCATCCATTAGAGAGCAGAGCACTGCACTGGTATTGCCACTCTTTCAGCTCAGTTTGAAAATGTCCTGCTGGCACAGAGAGATAGGATTCAGAACCAAATACAAAAGCTGTAAGGAATGGAATAGCTGTTCAACACAAAACCCTTGCAGTTTTTTTTTTTGATATTTCACGTTTTCTGGCATCAAACACACATAATTATGCCCCTGTTTTCACAGCGGTATAGCCCGTGCACAGTATGCTTTATGTCAGGGAGCTTGTAAAAAACAGCTAAAAAGCAGGAGCTTGTACCTTGAAGGTTGTTAAGCATTTCTCAGTTGCTTTCTTGTAACTTGAGGATACATGGAACAATTTGCTTTTGTATACCCATTACATTACAAAATCAAATTCCATTAAACATAAACCCCAGTCAAATAGGCAGTTTCCAAATATGTAGAGCTAGAAGACCTAAAGATGTCAGCACTTCAATTAAGACTTCGTCTCAATCAGTCCAGAGGAGAGCTACCAGATGCATTCCTGGGCTTATAGAAACTATTCTACACTGACAGGTTAAAACTGATAAACCTCTTAGTCTTCAACACAGGAGACTACAAGAGAACCCGACTCAAATATGCAAAATCCTCAAAGTCACCCCAGCAGAGAAAAGCACACCCGAGGACGCTAGTGGAAAACCGCAGAGGTGCAGTATAAAACTGAGAACAGGGAAAACTTTTTTTTCCCCAATAATGGTTCTGTGAGTCTACAACACGCTACCCTGCCAGGCTGCTGAAGAGGCATTTTGGCTTCTTGCAGGAAATGACGGGGGTCCAGCTTAATTAGCACAAACCGAACCAGAGCCCTCAGCTCAGAGATCCCGTCACGGGCGGAAACGCACCCCAGTCGGACAGTTTGTATCCCTGTGGGGAGAACAAACTGTAACGCTTACGGCCGACAGGCACTGTGTAAGAGCCGGCTTACCAGAGCAGGTGACGTCACCGCCCTTCCCAGTAATAGCAGGACCACAGCTACTGGGCTGTAGAGAGATCTCTCTTTGGCTCACTGGGCTGGGTCCCTGCTGAGTGATGCGGGAGTCCCGGGTTCGAGCCCCCGACGGTGGGGGGCTGACCTAATGCGGCAAGGGCGCCCGCCTGAGCCCCCGTTGCGTTACAAAACAAACAAACAACAACAAAAAAAAGGACTTTGAGAATTTCGACCCGGCAGCGGGCCTCTTCCACGCCACCTCGAGGTTAGCCTTGTGTAAATACCTCCTACGAAGGAAGCATAAACCATTTTATGAAGTTTCGGCTGAAGGCCTGAAAGGCCCAGCTGAAAAGTAAAGAGAGGCAGTCTCTGGAAAGTTGGCAATAAACAGTTGCCGTGGCAACAAACCGGAGCCTGCCTTTCCCCTTTCAGGCTGCTCTCATTCCCTCTGCCTAATAATAAACTGGAGGGCAGGCGTGGTACCGGCCTTCTGGGAGCTACGTTCCTCGCAGCCTGCCTAAGCCACATCCATTACACTCCCAGCCTAAGCCATTATTTTAGAAGATGGAAAGCAGCAAATGAAGAAGCTGCAGTTCCTGCACACGGTTTTCTCTTGAACCAAACACCGTCACATATATAAAGCCAACAAGCTACAGAAAGTGCTTAAATTCCACTTGAACACCACCTGACAGCAGGATGTGTGTGCTGTGTACTGAGAATATGAAGTCGGCCAGTGAAAATATGGCCAAACTAAACGGGAGAATTAAGTGCCAGTTTAAATGTGATCAAAAGAGGCCTGTGACATAAAGAAAATTGACTAAAGAAGTCGAGATGTACAGTAAACACAAGTTACACTGTTGGCTTCTCCTCTTGCTCTTACTCAGGGGAATAGCCAAATAAATGTGTTCTGAAACGTAGTGACATTAATTCTTCTGATTGCAGCCACTTGTGTGTATTACCCAGTAGATAAAATTATCAGGGACGATTTAGGAACTGTTTTGCCTTTGTCTTAAACCCATTAAGTTTTCTGAAAAGGAACGATTTCTAAATCCTTTCTAACTGCAAAACAAGTTGACTTTCTAAGCCCACATAAACATGATTAAGAGAAAAGAATAAACTGCGTATTTTAAAAAGTATTTAAAATTATATACAAGATTGATTTTCTGCAACATTCCTCTTAATTTGCTCTCATTCAGTAATGCCCTTTAATGTAACTGGACTTGACCCAAAACAAAGATTTTTTTGGCCATTTTCGTCAGTTTACAATCTACAGAGGCTGGTCCGTGCATTAACGGGGAGGAACTGGCAGATAAAAATTCTAGACTAAAAGTAAAAAATGCTGTAAAGTAAAAGTAATCAATTTTTGTCACAAGTGAATGGTTATATCTGAAAACTTCAACAATGTAAGAGTTCACCAGGCTGGGCCACAAGTTCTTTACTCTGTAGTGCTGTATGTACAGTCTTCCTCTAGAGCTTTGTTCATTGCCATGGTGCAATGTGACAATTAAATTAAATTCCTCAATTCCTAAATATAACACTACAGTACTGCACCCTGGGCAAAGAGTTTAATCCCTTAACCCTCCCAGGGTCACTGGGATGACCAGTCCTGGTCCTAAGGGCTGTTTTGTCTACAGTTTTTCATTTAATAAAACCAGCTGGTTCCTGGCTTAACTGGGCCAATTTAACTGCCTCGGCCTGCTCTTCGGGAATGGACTGAAATGAATGAGAGAGAATGAAAAGCAGTTCTTCTTCTTTAACCTTCAGTTGTATTTGTACTAATAAACCTCATGAGCAGAAAACATCCATAAAGTGAAGTAATATTTTACCACTGAACTAATTATAGTATTCGATGATGACCATCTACTGTATATTTCAACAAAAATTGCTTTAGTTGCACTGTAGGAGTCATTTGACAAACAACCAACATTTTAATCATCTGCCCCCACAGCAGTCACATGTAATAAATATGATAAACACAAAACTCAAGCTTCTCTCAAGGAGTGGAACTCAATTAAGCTTCTATGCTCCAAAATTCCCATATATAATCACAGGTTTGGGAGCATTGTTTTCCTTAATAAACTAGTCTCTGCAGCATCAAAAATGATAACAGCATAGGACTAAATGCCAACTCGATCACCATTTTGTACAAAATGAGATTAAATTTAATTTCAAGATTGTGACAGAATCACAATCTACAAAAAGAAGGAAAGACATGCAGTTAAATGATTAGAACTTTGCAAAATGCCAGAGATCCTTACACAGCAGTATGCATCTCAACGAGAGCTGTGTCAGCTTCTGTTGGTTGAGTGGATCCTGTTACAACACTGCCTGCTTCTGGAGACAATGGTGTTCTCTAATATTCCAGCAGGGCAGCAACACTCAGCCATATTCCTGCCATTATTGTGACAGCTGGCTCTGGCAGATCCTTTTGAGAATTGCTTGACAGGAATCCTGAATTATTAACCTACCGCTAACTGAACCAGTAAGGTGCATGAAATGTATAATATAGATTATAATCGTGATCCCAAATTTTCATTCCAGCTTGACTCTTGCTTGCTAAATGAAAGTAATAATTTGCTTCATTTGTTCTTTTCAATTTTTTTTATTTCTTTATTCCAAAAGGCTGCAGTTTTGAAGTTACATACAAATATTTATATGAGTAGAGAAAAGAAATGCCAAATTGAAAATTACATTACTGATATTACTTCAATCTGGCATTCAATTAAATTACTTGGTTCAGTTGGACTCCTTTGGGATAAAAACCAAGAGACACTGAGGTTACACACAAATGGATTGGGAAGCTCTGTTCTAAGCAAATATCTTTCTGCCAAAATAAACACATTTACTTATCTGGATAAATCCACAATATGCCATTTTGGAACAGTTAGTCGCTAAGAAAAAACTTTTGTCTTTCTGAAATTTGGGTTTGCAAAGAAGAAAGTTAAGTGAATACATTCCTGAAGTTACAGAAGGGTGTGTTGTCTCTGCCCTGTAGCATGCATGGTGTCTGTCAGAGTTTGGTTTGATATGGATTCTGGAACAACTAGACGGACCAGCCCTGTTAGACTGGTTTTACTGTAGGTAAAGCAGACAGTTTGACTGATAAATGACACAGGAAGGCGAAACTGCATCATCACAGGCCAGTGGCTAAGGTCAGGCATCCTCCCCTGAGCGAGGCTCTGACAAAGGAAAAGGCTTTTATGTCCTGTTCTGCAACAAGAAAGTGTTTCAAAACTGACATTCTCCAAAAAACAACCGTGAATCGCAAAAAGACAAGACATCACAATGATGGAAGAAGGCTCTTGGAAGGGGTCCCATCGTCGGCAACAGCGTTGTCTCATCTCTCTGAAATCTGGGCCGAGCTGCTTCAATAGGAGCACAGGAGATTCTGAAACCTCCTGAAATGGAATGCTTTGTGTGGGGGGGAAA